CATTTAGAGTGGAAAGCAGAAGCCAGCAACCATATAAGTTGTACTATAAGTATTTTCCCTATCCCCTGCAATGGAAGGCTGCAGAGGGACTGTGCAAGCAGCAGTCTGGGACCTTAGCCACCATATCCAACCAGGCAGAGAACCAACAGCTAAGCAGCATCTTAAATTACTGGAATATATCTCATCCCGTGTGGATTGCCAGGAAAATCTTAACCCATCAAAAAAGTAGGTTAATTGCGCTTACTTGGTCCACTAATAAGATGCACAAGCATTTCTATTTCTTTAAATAAAAGGACTCTGATGTTAAGTTTATGATTCACTTTTTTAATGTTTCCTTCTCTTTTTCTTTTTGATGAAATCAAAGATTCTTCGGAGACAATCATCCTGGATTTCTCCAAGCGCTCCGACCAGACGTATGCCCTCTTCCTGCGCCAGTTCCCCTCCATGAGCTCAATGACTATCTGTACCCAACTACGCTTTGATCCAAACAGCTCCGGAATTTTCAAAATTTTTTCCTATTCCGTCTATGATTTCCAGCTCCAAGCAAAACTGGTCCAGGGCAAACCTGTGCAGTTGGCTCTGCGGTTCCACTACAAGCAAGGGTCGTATGCCGAAGCTTTCAAACATGACAGCCTCTGGCATTCTGTGTGTGTTTCTTGGAGCCTGGATGTTGGAGCCTGGGCCCTCTATGCTCACGGTCGCATGATTTCAAGTGGGGATGGTATAAACAGGGATGTTGACAGCATCGGCCCAAATGGAGATTTCATTATCGGTCAGGGCAAGCATGGGAGCTCCTCTGAGTCCAATGACTCATTCTCAGGGAGCATCACCGAGCTGCATGTTTGGAATCGGGTTTTGAGCAGCTGTGAAATATTCACCATGGAAAATGAATGCTCAATCATCTCCTCTGGACTGGTATTGAAGTGGGAAAAAGTTCATCCGGAAATAGTGTCCCCTAATAAGCAGTGGAACAACAGTCCATGTCAAGGTAGTGTTTAAATCAAAGGAAGAATGCAATGTTTTTGGCAAAATCTAATATCAAACTTAGTTTATGACGGAGTTATGGAAAAAGACGCACCCGATTTAACCCAGAGGGGGGAAAAAAATTCCCATACGGTCCAGAACTTTAAAAAAGTTTAAAAAAAGGTTAGTTTCACAATCAGGCTGGGTGTGGCTGATATGAAGCGAAGCAGATGTAAAGGAGGTTTTAACTGCTAAGATTTCAAGATCTGTGAGCCTGAATCTAACGATCAGCTCTGTCCAAAAGAATAACAGTGAAAAACCCTGCAGATTTCAAGATGATCTGAGACATTTTCATTTAGACACATATCTTCCCAATCATTAAGTCAGTCCTGGATTTTTACTCTTATTTCTAACATTCCTGATTTTGATCTTTCATGGCCCCTTTGAAGGTTAAAATTTATTTCCTGTTTTTCTATATTATAACCACAAACTTCAGAACACAAACTTCTATTTAATTGGAATTTATTTGATGCAACACCTAAAATTGATACATAATTGAAGTAAGAAAATTAAGAATTCATTATTTTATGTACTTCAAAAGTGGTTAGCATTTGTATTTAGCCAACTTTAAACCTTTAGAAGTCAATTTATTTCAAAAAGTTTACCGATTTGCAATTAAATCTCAGTATTTGGTTCATTGGCAAACAATAAGCATAACAATAAGCAACCAAGAACAAATCGAACACATCAGGCATGAAGCTGTGAAGAAGTATAATAATATTTGATGCAGTCTTAGGTTATAAAACATCAAATGTTTTATATATACACTGCTCAAAAAAATTAAAGGAACACTTTGAAAACACATCAGATCTCAATGGGGGAAAAAACATGCTGTTTATTTATACTGATATGGACTGGGTGATTTGTTAGGAACAAAAGGAAGGATTATTTGATGGAAATGAAGATTATCAATCTACAGAGGGCTGAATTCAAAGACCCCAAAAATTACAGTGAAAAAAATGATGCGGCAGGCTAGTCCATTTCGCTGAAATTTCATTGCAGTTACTCAAAAAGGTATTCATTAATTTATGGCCCCCACGTGGATGTATGCATGCCCGACAACGTCGGGGCATGCTCCTAATGCCACATGAGGCCGGGCATTGTCGTGCACCAGGAGGAACCCAGGACCAACTGCACCAGCATAGGGTCTGACAATGGGTGCAAGGATTTAATCCCGATACCTAATAGCAGTCAGGGTACCGTTGTGTAGCCTGTATAGGTCTTTGCGTCCCTCCATGGATATGCCTCCCCAGACCATTACTGACCCACCAATAAACTGGTCATCTGAACGATGTTGCTGGCAGCGTAACGTTCTCCACGGCTTCTCCAGACCCTTTCACGTCTGTCACATGTGCTGAGGGTGAATCTGCTCTTATCTGTGAAAAGCACAGGGCGCCAGTGGCGGACTTGCCAATTCCGGTGTTCTGTGGCAAATGCCAATTGAGCTCCACTGTGCCGGGCAGTGAGCACAGGGCCCACTAGAGGACGTCGAGCCCTTTGGCCACCCTCGTGACGTCTGTTTCTGATTATTTGGTCTGAGACATTCACACCAGTAGCCATCTTGAGGTCATTTTGTAAGGCTCTGGCAGTGCTCCTCCTGCTCCTCCTTGCACAAAGGAGAAGATACCGGTCCTGCTGATGGGTTGTAGACCTTCTACGGCCCTGTCCAGCTCTCTCCCGGAGTAACTGCCTGTCTCCTGGAATCTCCTCCATGCTCTTTAGATTGTGCTGGGAGACAGAGAAAACCTTCTGGCAATGGCAGGTATTGATGTGCCATCCTGGAGGAGTTGGACTGCCTGTTCAACCTCTGTACTGTCCAGGTAGTGCCTCATGCTAACAGTAGTGACAGTGACCCTAGCCAAATGCAAAACTGGTAAAAAAAGAGTCAGAAAAGATGAGGAGGGGAAAAATGGTCAGTGGCCTCCACCTGTAAAACCATTCCTGTTTTGATGGTCGTCTTGTTGTTGCCCATCTAGTGCACCTGTTGGTAATTTCATTAACATCAAAGCAGCTGAAACTGATTAACATCCCCCTCTGCTACTTACCTGAACAAATCAATATTCATCCATCCATCCCTCCATTTTCTAGCACGTTTATCCCGAGTGGGGTCGCAAGGGGTGCTGGTGCCTATCTCGAGCAGTCAATGGGCGAGAGGCGAGGTACACCCTGGACAGGTCGCCAGTCAATNGAAATTTCATTGCAGTTACTCAAAAAGGTATTCATTAATTTATGGCCCCCACATGGATGTATGCATGCCCGACAACGTCGGGGCATGCTCCTAATGCCACATGAGGCCGGGCATTGTCGTGCACCAGGAGGAACCCAGGACCAACTGCACCAGCATAGGGTCTGACAATGGGTGCAAGGATTTAATCCCGATACCTAATAGCAGTCAGGGTACCGTTGTGTAGCCTGTATAGGTCTTTGCGTCCCTCCATGGATATGCCTCCCCAGACCATTACTGACCCACCAATAAACTGGTCATCTGAACGATGTTGCTGGCAGCGTAACGTTCTCCACGGCTTCTCCAGACCCTTTCACGTCTGTCACATGTGCTGAGGGTGAATCTGCTCTTATCTGTGAAAAGCACAGGGCGCCAGTGGCGGACTTGCCAATTCCGGTGTTCTGTGGCAAATGCCAATTGAGCTCCACTGTGCCGGGCAGTGAGCACAGGGCCCACTAGAGGACGTCGAGCCCTTTGGCCACCCTCGTGACGTCTGTTTCTGATTATTTGGTCTGAGACATTCACACCAGTAGCCATCTTGAGGTCATTTTGTAAGGCTCTGGCAGTGCTCCTCCTGCTCCTCCTTGCACAAAGGAGAAGATACCGGTCCTGCTGATGGGTTGTAGACCTTCTACGGCCCTGTCCAGCTCTCTCCCGGAGTAACTGCCTGTCTCCTGGAATCTCCTCCATGCTCTTTAGATTGTGCTGGGAGACAGAGAAAACCTTCTGGCAATGGCAGGTATTGATGTGCCATCCTGGAGGAGTTGGACTGCCTGTTCAACCTCTGTACTGTCCAGGTAGTGCCTCATGCTAACAGTAGTGACAGTGACCCTAGCCAAATGCAAAACTGGTAAAAAAAGAGTCAGAAAAGATGAGGAGGGGAAAAATGGTCAGTGGCCTCCACCTGTAAAACCATTCCTGTTTTGATGGTCGTCTTGTTGTTGCCCATCTAGTGCACCTGTTGGTAATTTCATTAACATCAAAGCAGCTGAAACTGATTAACATCCCCCTCTGCTACTTACCTGAACAAATCAATATTCATCCATCCATCCCTCCATTTTCTAGCACGTTTATCCCGAGTGGGGTCGCAAGGGGTGCTGGTGCCTATCTCGAGCAGTCAATGGGCGAGAGGCGAGGTACACCCTGGACAGGTCGCCAGTCAATTGCAGGGCCAAATCAATATCCCAAAAGTTTATTTAACATGATGCTATACTCTGATTTTTTTTGAGTAGTGTGTATGAAAAACAGGAAGAGAACAGCATGACTTCTACATGCGCAGGCTGCCTAACTAAATTTACCAAGGAGGCACTACATTGACATCACAACTACATTGACTAAAGGATATTGAAATCATCTGATTTAATGTGACCAACTTTTAGACACTTTTATGGTAAGATAAACATTTAGAGTATGAATATTTTTTAATTTTAACACTGTCCCATCTATAGCTGTCAGCACTGGTTGAAAATCTTTTTAAAACAATTCAACTGAGAACAGCACCCAAATAGGAGCAATGGTTGAAACTCCAAATGGTTCTTGTAAATACTTTTTAACTTAGATCATTCTGAGTCCCACCCTTGAAAACATACTTCTCCCTTTCTGACATCATGGTCCCCAGTGAGCTTTAAGTGTCCAAACGCCTCGCTCCCTCTCCTACTGCTCAGCTTGCATGAATTATAGTTCCCCTATTTTTCTTTTTTTTGGACTTACTTTCCACATTTGTTTTTAGTTAGCACATTACTAAAGAAATCTTACTATAATTATCAGCCAGGACCTCTTAAACCACCTGTTCTCTAACAAGCAAAACATATACAGTTGCTTCTCACACTAGAATTGACATTGCTTGTAATAAGGGGCCATTATCAATATTCATTTCTATATGAATATGGAGTTTGCTTACATTAAAATGATAAAACCTATAAAAGTTGTCATACTGTACAATAGGGCTGAAACAATTATTTGGATTAATTGTGACAAATCGATTATTGAAGTAATCCTCAACTTATTTAGTAATCAATTAATCTTTAACTGGAGTATAGAGATTCAAAAACATACCTTTATTTGACAGAGAATCCCACCTAGAGCAGTAATTATACCAAAATTGTAAAAAAAAATAAAATAAAAATGAATATTTTGCATTTGAGATAAAACAAATCTTTTTCGCCTGTCAATATTCTCTATCCAGAACTCCTCAAGTGGAAAAGTTTTTGTTTCACCTGGTTTGATTTCATAAAAAATCTTTGGTTACCCGATTATTAATCGATTAATTGAAAAAATATTGGACAGATTAATCGATTTGCAAAATAATTGTTAGTCGCAGCCCTACTGTACAATAATATCAAGGGAAAGTTTGAATCATTGTACATCTCAGCCTTTCAAACCATTTTCAAGTAAACAATTCTTGGAGTGTGAGAAGGATTAACCTTGAGTATTTCCTTTGCTAGGAAAATCTACTGATTTCTCTACCGATTCTTTCGATTCCTTGTTGAATCGGACATCTTGGGATGACCCACCTTTCTCCGTTAAAGTGTACCAC